GCGGGGAGGAGGAAGCCTCCGCTCCAGGGACCTAGGCTTACCAAGGCAAGTTCATGGATGACTGAGGTGAACTCACAAGAGCCAGTGTGCTTTCCCATAAGAAATCTGACAAAATGATAACACATCGCTCTTCCAGCTCTGGGCACAAATGAGCACTGCCTCTGAGCACAGAGGCAAACCTGATGGCATCTGATCCCTGCCAAAATTCCACACCAGGTGATGTCAGACTGAAGGCATATCTGTTTTTCCAGGAGGCTCCCAAAGGCAGGAGGCAGTGTCTCCAAGCTGGCGCTGTTGTTTCCAGTTTTAGTAACCTGCTTGGGTGTGTGGGGGTGAAAACCACTGCAGGGAGATGGAGGAGGTGGCAGGAATGGGGACATCCCCTCTCGGAAAGGAAGACCAAGTGGAAAGCCTTTCAGCTCCAACTGCCCCCTCCCACAGACTCCCCAGGACCCCACCCACTCAGGAGCCTGCCACTCCTGAAGAAGCACATGTTCAAGGACCTGAAGCACACTGAGGGGTAGGGAAGGCCTCAGCATATGCGCTTGTGCAAATCAAACACCCCAAAAAGCAGGACTGGGCCAAGGACCGGGTGGTATCCCCACCTGAAAAAGAGCCTGCCCTGCTCAGCTCACTGCCAATGCCCCCTCGTCCTGGGGGTCTCCTCCAGATCTGTCACAGGCTCTCTTCCCAACCTCTTCCAGGGAACTGTTGGGATGACAGGCCAGTAGGGAAAGAAGACTCCTTCTAGCTCCTGAGTTACAAAAACAATTCTCTTTGGAAAGAAAGGTTCAAACTGAACATGGGTCCACGCTACTAAAGTGGGATGGGTGGGGATTGTCAGAAGGAGGGGGCCTCTCGGTGACCATGAAGCCAAGGGAGACTCCGGGTGGAGGAAAGATGCCAGGGTAGCAGGATCCTGACCTCAGACAGCCTCCCCAAGGGAAGCCCTGAGATTTGGGTGAAATCACTCAGGCCTGACTGAGACCATCAGAAGGAGAGGTGGCAAACTGTCCCTAAGACTTCCTATTCCCTCAGACATGATTTGTACCCTATGCTCACACTCACAAGCAACCACTGGGACGGGCTCAGCGTGCCTTGAACACATTCCTGCAGGTGAGCATGGTTTTGTGTTGACAAACAAGTAACTCTTGTTGCCTGCACCTATTCATTCCTGGGCACAAAGAGCAAGAGTTTGGAGAGCAAAGGATCCCTCGTCATGCAAATCTCTGTTTCCTGGTCAGTACAATGCAAAGGCAATGTGCTCTCACTGCCACGCTGCTGGGTGCTCACGACACCTGACGCCCGTCATGGGAGGCACCCCCTGTCTCCCCTTCCCCCCATGCCTCCTGAGATGGGCTTCAGGTTGCTTCCAGTTTCCACCACCAGGGTTAATGATAGGCTGGTTTTCTTGTTTTAGGTGCTGGAATTATAGTGCATTGCTGGACCCACAGTCATCTGGAGCAGGGGGTCAGAGCAGCCACAGAGAACAAGTTTTGTGCTTTGTCTTTTTATTATTCTTTATTTACTGGTCCTACCAACGTGACCCTTTACCCAGGCCCACTGTTCCCATGTGCACTGGCTTTACAGACATTTGCACCATATGTCTGTGTCCCAAGTTGTGACTGATTTCTCCTTCCTATTCCTTTTCCATGCTGTGCCTCATTTTCTCAGAATCTGAAGGCATTTTTGTTTGTTTGGGTCTGTGTAAAGGTTCCTTGGCAGGAGAACATGCATATGATCTTAAAATAAAGACATTCTGACACTAAGGTAATGCACAGAAAAAATACAGTACACAGACATCATTGCAAATAAATACCCCGTACAGATGAAGTTTTTGTAAATGTAACATTATTTCTTATGAATCAACACTGTAAGAGAAGGTAAAAATAGGGGTCCCTAACAACTAGGAATAAAAATGCTTATTCCAGGAAACAGAATTCTTCTATTCTTGCTACTTATATTATTATAATTTGTCCTGTATTTTGGAGGAGAGAGGACACTTTTTCTTCCTCCTCCTTGAGTACCAATTTGACCACGTGCACAACCTCACTCAGCAAATCAGGACAGGACACAGATCTGGTTTGCTAAGGAGCTTTAGTGACTTCTGTTTCCTGAAATTAACAGTGATTAGTTACACCAAGCAAGAGAATATATAATGTCTCTCTCTCACATTTGCAAAGAATACTATGGCTAGCCCTCACCCCAATGCACGAGGCCGACGGTGCCGGCTCCCCTGCCACCCGCCCCACTCTTCACAAACGTGGCGTATTGTTCACATAGCTTGCTTAGCTTGTCCCATAAAGTCCATTTGGTTCCCAAAGCACACTCAAGGTTTGTGTTCACTTTCGTTTTCTCAGCCCCTGAATTTGCAAGGATCTGCACAGTAAAGAATCACTGACTAACAGAATTTTGCACAATTGCTGTTTTCTTTCCCTCAATGAAGATGCCCAGGGTCAGGTTAGAAGTTGTGCACCTGTTCAAACTGATTGGTCCACACTGGCCTTCAACATTCCCAACTAGCTCTTCACTGTCCATTTTAGAGAATAAACTACGCTGGAACACCTCCCTAAACTGATGAAGGCACTACTGGCAATGATTACTAACAAAAAGGCGTTGAAATATAACACCCTAAAAATCGACGACTGTAGAATTTTCTAAGTGTACCACAATTTGGCACAACAACCGGAGTAACAAAACAATTCCAATTTGGAATTTCACTGGTACAGTTGTATAAAATTCTGTTAATCAGTCATGCTTCACAATGTCCTAAAACCCAGAAAATTCTGGAATTTGTAGGTAATACTACTCATTCAATAATTTATCTTTTTGTTTTCAAGTGCCTTTTACTGTTTAACCAGAGCAAAGGTCAAGTTTTCTTCTTGTTACATTGAACTATTCCTAAGAATAATAATAATACAATATGAAAAACCCCAGAATCCGAATACCCTGGATTTCTTAATGAACATGGCATTTAAAATCTGTAATTTCAAACATGAACCACAATGCCGTATAGTTAAAAGGCTGCTG